AAGTCGTCGTGGCCTAAAGGATAAGAAGTCCGGTGCATTCGTGTTGAAGCGATGCACCGGTGTTCGAATCTCAGGCGGGTACCAATTTTTTTAAATGAAATACGTACTCAACAAATGTTCACGATTGACTTCCACTGTGAAGGTATAATAACATCGTGTAGTAAAAATCAAACCCGCAAAATTATAATTTGCGTAATTACTAGTGGTAGGACCTCTTGTGAGTCCGCACGGGTAGCTACCACCACCCAACTGTTTCTGCCGTGAAGCAGCAGGTGGGGCAGCTGTTGTAACTATACTGAGACTTTAGAACTTATATCTCAAGATGGGTGGCGCATTTACATATAGATGTCTATGGGCTCCAGTAGCCACTTGGCATCAAGTGGGCTGTGAGCTCGTCCGTCCAGCTGAGCAATAAAAAAAAGGAAGACATTTTGTGTATATTCCTGTTTCTATATCACGGATAGCCTTCCTTATAAAGAGCTAAATGTTAGCGAGAAGCAGTACGTTCGTGAATAAATAAAGCAGAAAGCGAATGAATTTCGACTCATTATCCGCACTTTTACAGACTTTTACGTTTGCAGTGAACGAAATTAAATATTGAGTAATTAAAAAAAGGCCGTGACTAAACACAATGAACTGTATTTTTGTTTAGCTTTGAATTATCCAATAAGTGTTTTATCACTTTTCTTTCATTTCATTTATTTGTCATTCAATAACTGGGAACAAATCACGCATGATCATCCGGCCCCAATTTAGGATCTCCGGTGCTGTGTTTACTGGAAACTGATAAACATACTTATATATGTTTTAATATATACATAGATAATAAACACCCAGACAAAGAGCAAATAAACCTATTCATTACACAATGTTTGCCCGATCTGGGAATCGAACCTACGACCCTTGGTGCAATAGTCAGGGCCTTTAACTACTGCACCATCGAGTCAGTCAATCAATATGTAAGTATTTTTGTGTAAAGCGTTCCGGTTTAAAATGGGACAATCCTTAAACAATCCTATTAAGATAGATAGAAATAGAATAGGTAGGCAGAGGCTTGGCTCTGCCCTTGGCATTGCTGAGGTCCATTGGCGATGGTAACCACTCACCATCATGTGGGCTGCACGCTCGTCTGCGTACTAGAACAATAAAAAATTAAAAAAAAAAAACATAAAAAATGAAATCTCATATTGTAAAGTGGGTGATGCATAAATTCATTTGTGTTCATAAAAAACATATATTTTAATAATCAGGAAAAGTTAAATAGCATATCATTTTAATGATTATAAATGTATTAAACGTTAAATATTTAGATAATACGAAACATCCAAACAAACAAAATAAAATTCCCCTACACTTCTACGTTACATTCTAAAAGTCTCGCGTCAAACAAATAGGTCCCGAGTGGACGGTAACTGTCATACTGAACGATAAACAGGTGTAATTTAGTTACGAAAGTGGCCGAAATGGTGCGTTTATGGAACAAATTAAGAAATACGTTATATATGTGGTTGAAATATGACGAGAAATTGTGCGAGAGCCGCAAAGAAATGTTTTTGTGTTGCCTTAATATGATGACTAACCGACTTCTATGATTTATTATATAAAATAGAAAATATAAATCACGACACCCCTAAATTTTTCATGTTTTAGTCCTTTACTGCGATAGGGATGTCATGGCCTCACTTGTAATATGCCAGTGGATTAAAGGTCATCTTACCTTTCGTTTTTTGATTAATTTTTATTGCTCTCGACGTGCGAATGAGCTTACGGGTCAGAAAATATATTCGGGGCACAAATAGGCCTGGTGGTATATGGCATAAAAGATGCTGGAAAAGATAAGAAGTAATGATAGATATCATGGAAGTAGCGGCTGGTGGTTCGAAGAAGCTGACATTATAAGCTTTTACTTATATAGTACACATCAGATCACACGCCACACAATAAAGGACTGAATAACGAGGTCTAAAAGTAGGTGATATGGTGGTAGGACCTTTTGTGAGTCCGCGCGGGTAGGTACCACCACCCTGCCTATTTCTGCCGTGAAGCAGTAATGCGTTTCGGTTTGAAGGGTGGGCCAGCCGTAGTAACTATACTGAGATCTTAGAACTTATATCTCAAGGTGGGTGGCGCATTTACGTTGTAGATGTCCATGGGCTCCAGTTACCACTTTACACTAGGTGGGCTGTGAGCTCGTCCACTCATCTAAGCAATAAAAAACTAAAAATAAAAGGTGTATATTTTATTTCTAAACACAAAGTCAAATAAAGAAAAATATTTTAGAGGGAATATTAAAACGACAGCGCTACTTTTCAAACTATCACATCCTTCGAGAACATTCCTATGCAAGATACTTATAATTTCAAATGAAAGAACTTTTGAATACGTAACGAACGTGAATGGAAGCATCAAAACTATTCCTCGATATCAGTTAGCTGCGTTTCCTCTCGCGTATTCAATTGCCTAACGAAGCGTGAAGAGCGGACAGATAAAAAAAAAAGTTTTTATCTCGATGAACAAGAAACGTCGCTTTAACTTAGTATATAAATGTGATTCGAGATTCTTAAGGACTGCCGACGAATGATACTTTTAGAATCTTTTCTAGTGTCAAGATCAATTTTACGCTGGAAGAGATTAAGACAAACTAGATGGGTCTCGATGGTTTCATCAAAAATTTGTTATTAAAGGCAAATATAGTGTTTTCTGAAGCCGAAGATTTAAAGAACTACTTAAGTCTGAGATCGTTCGTCAAAAATTGATTCATATAGATTTAAATTCTATTGATCTATGTCTTATCATTTTAAATCTAAGCTAATGAATCATTTGGTAAAATCCAATGGACATTGACCACTTTTTTACTATCTATGATTGAAAAACCGTTTCGAAGAAATAAATAGTTGATTAGAGAAAAATGATTTTTATTGAAAAATAACCTATAATTTTCAGTCTCTTCAATTAAATATGTTTGACTTTTTGTCTAGAAATAACGTTATCATTGGCTTTATTCAAATATATACTTTAGCTTAAAACTTTTCAATTATTGCTCGTTGCCTAGTGAATTATTATTTCTGTAAAGGGTATTTTAAATATAATTGTATGTATTTTAAATTTTAAATATACTGTATTTAATATACTGTATTTTAAATATAATTCGAACATATATTTCAGTCTCGGATTACTTTTAGATCAAAACCGGTACCATATCGCACCGTATTTTAAGAATATCAATAACAAAATGGCTTTTTCATAAAACGGACAAGGCAGAGGATAAAGTTCCCAGTAATCGTAAAAGTAATATTACCCAAGAAACAAACGCCTTAGAACGTGAGAATGGAGTAAATATTAGCGAATTAACTGCGGAAAATGTAATTACTGAATCCGGTAAGAGAAGCTACGGAGCTACGAATATCATCTACGACGTAGCCTACCTACGAAAATCGACTACAACGTAGCACTGAAGAATTTTGTTAATTATTGTATCTTTCAGTAAATGTGTGACGGTCAGGATACAATGTAAGACGGAAAATTCGATAGTAAGTAGAATAAAATTTTACGCTTTTAGGGTGCGCAATGAATCGGCTACTCCCCGGTTCACGCTTCAGTGGAAATATGATATCATATTTTCCAGCCTAATTTCTCTGGTTCTTGCCCTGATTCAATTTTCAATTCAGGTTGTAAGATATGTGAGAAGTATATATATAGTAAGGAATACCCTACTAAAAAGGTATAAAACCGGCGCGCAGCTCCGTCACCCGCGCATTTGTCGGTTGTCATTCGTCGAGAGAACATCGTTCAAAGACTTTAAGTGTTAATTTAGGAAACACGAATTTTATAATAATGTTGTGGGTACAGTGCCTATAAATAGCAACGCCTTTGCTCGAAACATTCATTCGATCGGCGGCGTTCGTGAGAGAAGGTAGTCGTGGACATGGTGTGCGTGAGTCATTGTCTTAAGTCTCTGTAAACTTGTGCAAATTGTTTTTTTTTTTTAATGGTTTTTCTTCTGATTCCTAATAATATATATATATATAAGTAAGATATATATAAGTAAGATATCTGTAGAAGTATTAAGTACGGAGATGGATTCCAATTCAAATAAGACTTCGAACTAAAGTGTCAAGGCAGACAGTGTTCAGGCCATGGCGTTGATGCTAATATCTAAAATATTCATAATATTCAGTTCAGTTCCGGCAGCTCTTGTACTATAGAACTGAAACTTAAAATTCACATTTCAAAACGGGTGGTAGATCGTTCACTCGTCTAAGCAATGAAACAAAAGTAAAATGGCAACAATGCGCGACATCTTTTAACAGAGTCAAAATCACTTCGATCAACTTAACACCTTGGCTGCGGCAAGTAAAATTATGAACCATCAAAGTGGTGGCGGGTTGAAATGCGCCCTCAACGATACGTCCACTAGGGCAGGGCAGGGCCCGGAGACTACGATACTTTAAGAAAAAAAAAAATTGTATGGAAACTAGCGACATCTTGAAGCGGATGCCCCTAAACTTATATGTTGTCAAAGTTAAGGCATTTAACTATTGTTTAACTAAATACAGAAAATAAAAAATTAATAAACCATACCAGTATTTATTTGTTTATAGACAAATTAATAAAATTTTATCAATTTGTGGTTTCTGAAAATTTACAAAATCCTTAATCGCTATATAGTATAAAACAAAGTCGCTTTCTCTGTCCCTATATCAGTCTGTCCCTATGTATGCTTAAATCTTTAAAACTACGCAACAGATTTTAATGCGTTTTTTTTAATAGATAGAATGATTGAAGAGGAAGGTTTATATGTATAATAATATCGATTAAATAGTGGAGAAATCAATAATAAATTACAGTTTCCGATGCGAAGCGAGGGCGAGTCGCTAGTTAAAAATAAAATATAGGATAGTTAATATGTTACTGCCATCTACAGGAGAAATGAGAAAGGTTAAAAAGTTGAAAAGCGTTGAGAAAAGTTAACACTTTTTGTTAAACTCATATGTACTGACCAGCCTGAGTCCTCATATCCCGTGAAATGATCGTGCCGTGCGCGTTGTGAGCCCTGCACCTGTATATCGTCGCGTGCACGTCCTGCCTGTAGTTCACTGCTGCGAACGGCAGGAAAACCAACGTTCCATTGTCGAGGAATTGCCTGTGAACAAATTTGAATCTTAATTAAAATTTATTTCTTTTTGGAACGAAGTTCCTAATGGCACGAAAAAACGTCCGTAACGTAAGATTTTTATTAATAATGCACACAGTGTACGACTTAACTTTGTAATAACTTACAAAAAATAACATATTTTTTTATTATATATTTTTTATAAATCAATGTAAATAAAATAAAGTTGATAACTTTGTAAAGTAGTTTTTTTTTATCAATAAAAAAATCATAATAAAACATGTATGTATCTACATATTTTCTTTATACCTCGAATAGAACTTAAAATTAATATTTTTATAATAAGGAACTTCGTTCCTATCCGGTGTCCCACGACACCACACATTTTTTTTTTACCTTGAGATATGAGTTCTAACGTCTCAGTACAGTTACAGCGGCTGCCCCACCCTTCACACCGAACCGCAATACTGCTTCACGGCAGACATCGGCAGGGTGGTGGTACCTACCCGTGCGGACTCACAACACGTCCTTTCACCAGTAAAAAACATTTAGTAAAAGCAACTAGAAAAAAAAAAAACAGCACAGCATTTCTACGGCTTATGTAGCGTTTTTCGTTATCATTACATTGATTTCCGACGTTTCGGATACATTACAGTTTTCCTTATTTATAATACTATTCGTACCGTGTGAAACGAAACGTACTACATGTCTAAAAATATCTTTTATGTAAAAAAATGGACGGTATTTCACCACTGAAGTATGAAACCTATCTATGTATTTCACACAAAATTCAAATCTCAACGTCGAATAACGTTTTGGTTTTGCCTGATCACAGAAACTGTAAAATATTTGAAACGTGACAAATAGTATTGTGACAATAAATTTTAATCACCCTGCCATAACTTTGCCTGGGTTAATTAAATATAGTTTTCGTTCGTGACGGAATATATTTGAATAGACAAGTCAGAAATCGATGCGACATACAAATCTGTAGAAAAGCTGTTGAGGAGGTATCTAAGCTTTCTGAAGTCTGCGTTTTATAAAGAGTGGGCAGTCCATCGTGTGCTTAACTTTTTCAAATGCTTTTTTCAATTGCTTCCATTGCTTTTTTCAATTTTTCAATTGCTTAGGTGGATGCGCACACATTTCATAACCCACCTGGTGTTAAGTGGTCACCGAAGCCCATAGAAATCTACAAGGTAAATGCGGCCACCCACCCCGAGACATGAGTTCTAAGGGCTCAGTTTTTACAATACAACGGCTGCCCTACCCTTCAAGCCGCAACACATTACAGCTTCATGGAAACAAAATAAAAAAACAAGATATCGCTATTGCTTTTTTATTATACAACCATTTTCTAATTACAGAACACAATCGTTACCTTGATTTAAGTTCCTAATCTCATTTTCTGCTCTGTCAAATGGATAAAAGGCTTTTCGGAGAACCTCCGAGGAAAACTATTAAAGAACACAAATAGCTACCAGAGGACGTATCAAAGCGGGGCTGACCCTTAAACTTTTATGAGCTTGATAAAGGTGAAGCTTCAACTGCTAGAGTCAAATTGTTAACCCAAACCTTTACTTAGGGATAAGCTCAGTAAAATTGATTCAAAATTTAATTTAATTCAATTTCAGCTTGAATGTGTTTAGTATGTTTCTACTAATTGTATTTTCACTATATTACCTTAAATAAAAGAGGTACAGTACTAAGAAGGAACAATGTTTTTATAGGTGTTTTGATAATATTTTAAGCTACTCTTGAGTTGTTAGGTTTCCCTTGGAGGCGTTCGGGTAGCTGTTAGCAAATCCCGCCCCATCTGGCTAAGCCCTTGCTCGCCAACCTGTCCTTGTGAAACTGGAAAGACCTCAGGGCCACCAGTAAACTCTCAATCATAAAAAAACAACATTTTCAAATATTAACGAAATAAAATTTATTCTTGCAATTTTCTTACATTACTAACTTCAACATTTTTTTAAATCGTACTCAATTTTACCTTGTGTTCATTGCCTACGTTCACCGCCGGACGTCTCGTTGGCAAATCGAAAAGAGCTCGGAATAAACGTAAGAAAATGCCGTTAATTTTCAATTACGTAATTTGATGATTTTCACCAAGAAAAAAGCCGGGAAGTTCAATTCAATTCAATCGTAATACAAACGAATAAATCGCATAATAATTGCTTCGCGACTGAAAGGTTAAGGCTATTATTACTTTTTTCTTCAATAATTTTCTTGGAAATAAACGGTGAGTCGAAATTACACTAGCTTAGTGGCTTCTGTTAGACGTCTACCAAAATTATCTGAAAATGCGATTGAAAGGGGATTGCTCACTCTCCATAGTGTGCTAGGCCCAAGGTGGACATTAAATATTACTATAAAAATGGACTGATTCAAATTCTTAAATGTATTAGATATCTAAAAAATATATTGAAATTGACGCCACTATTATAAAAAATATAATAAAAATAAAAAACTCGTTTTGAGGTTAATTTTCTATATAAATACCTCAAGAACTTTTCTTTTTTTAATGTTTAAGATGTTCCTAATGTATTTTTATCCAATTGTAGTTATTAGGGTATAAAAAACACACATACTTCTTTAAATATCTATATTATTCTATATTTTCTTCATCTTCATACACAATTAGTAAATCATCTAAAAATAGCACAGGAGAGCATATACACGGTTTTAAATCTCGGTCAGGTTAAAACCACAATTCACACAATGGTTTTCAGCCGTAGTATGAAACGTTATTGATAAAAGCAAAATAAATCGAAGAAAAATCAAAACACATCCATTTTGAACGCAAGCACAAGCAGCAAGCGAAGTGTCAGTCAGTCAGATTAAAATCAGTGTTGTCAGTATAAAGAAAAATAATTCCATGAAATTCATATATCGATCATTTTTTTAAATAACCGATATTGGATTTATTTCTTAATCTTTTTTTTACGAGTACACATTATATTTTATTTTTTATGTTTTTGTTTTAGTTGTACATATTTAAATAACAATACAAGCTAAGTTTTTTTTATTGCTTAGATGGGTGGACGATCTCACAGCCACCCTGGTGTTAAGTGGTTACTGGAGCCCACAAACATCCACAACGTAAATGCGCCACCCACCTTGAGATATAAGTTCTAAGGTCTCAAGTATAGTAACAAGTTAAAGTCCAATGGGTATGTCTTTGATGTTATTTGATGTCCTTAAAATCGATTAAAATCGATTGATTAATGATAATATTTAAAATGATTTATTTATATGTTTTGTTATATACTTAAAATGTTTACTTAATACGTAAAAGGTTTTGAAGTTGGCAATATTTTTCCCGCAAAAATAAAATTCTTGTTTTTTTCAATAGAGTTACTTTTTTTAAACTACTTATTGTAAACTGTAGTGGCGCTTATTTGGAAGAAAGTAAATGCATATTTATTTATTACAAAATTAATGCACTAAGTATTTTTTCTCTAATCTATTGTCCGCTTTGGGCCTGAAATGGGCCGTCCCCTTTGAGGGTGGCGGTAATTTATTTTTACTTCATCAGTTAATTGTATTTTTTTAACCTAAAACCATTATTAGTATTACACAGTTCGGTTGCGTTGCTGAAATTAAATAATGTTTATTAGAAGTATGATCTAATAATGTTGAGTAAAGTATTAAGGAATCAAGAAAATTTAATAATTTAGAAAGTATTTTCTTCGAATTTCACGAGTCCTGGATATAATTAAAACTAATTTTACCTAAATATCGACGCTTGAAAGGCAAACGTGACTAAGCGACAATTCGTGAACTTTACAGTAGGCTAATTTAAAGTTGAAATACCTGAAATTTTTTTCTATTTTAACGAATTTAGCTGTATTGGATTGAAATGATTTTAATAGACCTAGAAATATATTTTTTTTGCGCATCGAATATGGTTATTGCCTATCATTTATGTACAAAGCAGTTATTGTCGCTTAGTCACGTTTGCCTTTCAAGCGTCGATATAGAGACAGCAAAGCAGGCTTATAATGCTTAGTCATCTTATAACGGACGTCGTTGGGTAATGTCGTACTCACTGGTGGTAGGACCTCTTGTGAGTCCGCACGGGTAGGTACAACTACCCCGCCTATTTCCGCCGTGAAGCAGTAATGCGTTTCGGTTCAAAGGGTGGGGTAGCCGTTGTAACTATACTGAGACCTTAGAACTTATATCTCGAGGTGGGTGGCGCATTTACGTCGTAGATGTCTATGGGCTCCAGTAACCACTTAACACCAGGTGGGCTGTGAGCTCGTCCATCCATCTAAGCAATAAAAAAATAAAAAAACGAATCAAATTAGTTTACTCAGTCAAATTACAATGCCTAATGAATCAACAGCTCACGGGGCTCAAACCGGGAGTGTTGCTAACACTGGTCCTAGCAAGAGCAGTGCTTCGCAGAATCTACCACCGGATCGGGAACGCGACCCACTGAGTAGATCCGGCGAGAAACTCAGTGGGTCTCCCATATCACGTGTTGGTTGCGACATTTTATCCTTTTTTATTATCATCAGAGTCAAGTAATCTAAATGTCAAAAATAACAATAAAATGATAGTAAAAAATGTAAGACTAAATCGTAAAATTATATTTAATTATATATCAAGAATATCAGTCAGGCTTCATTGCTTCTGCAGCAAAATCAAAATTCAGATAGAATGGAATGAAATGAACAAAAAAATATAGTCAAATTCTCGTACCCTATAAAAACCGCACCCAGAAATTCTGGCGTATAACAGTTTTTAGCACAACAAACTTTTAATTTTAATACAACTTTTTAATGTGAAATACGAAGCCTAGTACGGTCCCGTAATTGCCTTAATAACTTCTGCGTCGGCGGAAGAAGAACACAATATAATCCTCTCCACTGTTCATTCTTTATAAATCGGATTCGAGGAAAGAGAAACAGGCATTCGAAATTGGATTATCGGTTTAAATCTTCAAGAAAGTTCTAAGATTATACAGTTTATTAAAATAATTAGGAAGTCTTGAGAAATTTTGCATCAATCGTATAATGCGA